GCCTACTGGGAGAAGAAGATGAAGGGACTGCCCATGCCTGAACTGATCAAAGATCTTGTTCTTCAGGATCAGCCGTCTGTGTCTGATGCAGACAAAGATCTTTTCGTTAAGGACTTCGATGTGAAGCCTAACGTCATTATATATCACAGCCACCATGTGGAATCTCATCAAGACGAGAAGAAGATGAAGGATAAGGCTTTTGGGGAGAAGCTTGAAGAAGAGAAGTTGGCTCAATAAATTAATGAAAGGGACCATAGCTTCTACAATACTCCGTTATGTTTGTTGGAATAGTGGGAATTAATAGTCAACTAGTGTTTTCATTGAAGTTTGTTTTGCAGGGAAGAGAGAGAGAGAGAGAGTTATTAATGAATTTTAATGGATAAACATCCTCTGCTTCTGGTGCTTGTTTTCTGATTCTGCACAATATTCATAGGAATCTAATCTTGTCTTGTTCCTTTTCACCCATTCGAGGTTCAGATCATTAAAAATTACGCAAGGGGTTTTTTGGATCCATTCATTTACTCGACCAGCCAATAAGAGATACAGTTGAAAAGAGATAGAAAGACGGAAATTCAGGTGGCGCCTATACAAGCAAGTAAATCCAATTCCTACATCCATCAGTCTAGGCTTCGACCTTTCGATTCTGAGAAACGTCACCAAAATAAGTTTTGTGGAGATCAGGAAAATCATTAAATAACATCAGGTTTTATAAAATAAATTTATTACTCTTTTGATCTTTTATATATAGGATACGAGTAAATAAATTTAGGTTCTGGAAAAAAAGTAAATAAATTATGTATATGACTATGATAAGGTGGTTAAAAATAGTTAATGGTAATAAGTATGAACAAAATAATTTTTTTAAAAAATATATCCTTATTTTTGGATAGAGAGTGGGAGAGCACAACCAAACAGAAATATAGAAGCATACCTATTTAGAATAAGAGGTAGAATATTTTTTTTTTATAGAAATGCTCTCAGTCTTCTTTAAATAAATACCACTCCTAATTTAATGCATTATTTTTTTGGCCAAAAATTTAATGCATTATTGAAATCTTTAATTAACAGGGGAGCAAATCTGGAAATAAAAAAATTTAGTGCATTATTGGAATCTAAAATTGACAAGTATTGTAAAATATGTAAAGCATATAAAACAGCTTTTCTGTGAGAGACAGACATTGGGGTGATTCTTTTATATTTATTTATTTTTAAATTAAGTCAGAATTATTACTCCCTCCATCTATGACCTTCTTACCCATTCATACACATTAAAAAAAGTAGGCATATTTATTATTTGTAACTAAGGTATAAAAAATTTGCAATACTTTCTCAGAATTAGCCACACATTCAATTGACTGCACTTATTAGTTCCTATTAAATAGGGGAAAACATGAGGTACTGAATGCTGGTTTGACGATCCCTGTGATGATTACTTAAATAAGTCCTTATTCTTCTGTCTTTTATAATAAAATCTAATTTTTTTAATTAGTTTGTCCCTATTTATAAGATCTTCTTTAAATTTTTCTAAGCAATAAATGTATTTTTACCCACTTTATCCTTAATTAATATACTCTCTCTCATTATCTTTTTCCCATACATTTTTTCTCACTCACACCTACCCACTAGTAAATAGGGGTATATTTGGAAAAAAAGTATATTTTCAACATATTTATTACTTTTAATTAATTGTAACAGTTTTTAAACCACGTAATATAGTTAAGTGGATCTCATAATAAGAGATGAAGGAGTATGTTTTTACTCTCCACCCCCTTGTCTGGATAAGACATCAAGTCATCAGCTGATTAGTATTTTTGATCCTTTGTGTAGGATATTTGCTTAGTTTTAATAATCATCAAATACTTTTTTTAATCATATATGCTCATATTTAATAAAGATATAGTGAGATAATAAAAATTAATATGATGTTAAAGTTTAATGTAATTAATAAGGATAATATTGAATGGCAAAAAAAAAACAATAATATTAAAAATTATTTGAATTTTATGACAAATTTAATATTTTTAGCTATTTTTATTGGCATGATTGAATTGGTTATAAATGGCTTATAATAGGAACTACAAAGAGTATGAGATAAAACTCTGGTCAGTTCTTACATATTTATTCCATGCAATAAAAATCACTTTTTTTTAACCAACGCAAAAAAAAAAACAACTTTAAAATAGGAAAAACACACTTATATTAGTCGAAACATTAGTTTCGTGAGTTTTAGTGTTTTATTTTTTCGGTAGAAAAAGTTGAGTCTTGCAAGTTTATACATGCCTCCGTGGGTCGCGATTTATATATATAAATATATATATGTATATTTTCGGCCAAAGCGATTTATATACCTTGGGAACTCATCTATGTTAGGGATAGGCTTAGCTTGATGCTCCTCGCGTCCCTTGACTTTCTTCTTCTTCCTCTTAGATTACCAATCTGTTATTTAGCTGCGGCCTAAGAAAATCCATTTATTATTTAGCCACAGACAAAGAAACGAATGTCCACTTGGGTGTCATTGCTTCACCTGAAACCGGGTAACTTGCTTATAAGAGCTTTATCTACATATAATGAAATACTCGTATATATAGGAGTAATATCTTGTTAGTTGAGCATAAATATAACAGAAAATATTTTCTATTAAATATTTGAAGTTGTAAGATTTATTAATGCATAAAATTTTTGAAACACCAACCAAGTCAACACCTACCCCCACAATTCATATGAGTGGGCCAAAAGGGCGATATGTAACTAAAAGCTTTCTTCTTAGTTAAGGTCATCAAACTTTTTTGTTGCCTTTAGGACTAACAAAGGGAACCTTGGGACACTTGAATTGTTCGGGATTGGACTATATTTTGACGAGTTCATTTTTTAATGATATCTGTGGTTAAATTCTATTCTTTTTTAAAAGCAAAAGAAAATACAAAGTAATTTTTTAAACAGACAAAATGGTAGCAGGCACACCCATGAAGGCTGTTTGTGAGTGGAAGGGAGTAGCTTCATGCCCAAGCAAGAACAAATTAAAGCAGTGTGAATGTCCAGATTCCAGACCAACCCATGTGTTCTAATCAATTGCATTGAAATTGTACTTACGGGCCGAAAACCCAAGAAGAAGAAAACGGACACAGAGAGAGAGAGAGAGAGAGACAGAGGTGAGAGCAACAAATATGTCACTCATTTTCAGGTTCGGGCGCTTCCCCTGTTCCCGGAAAACACGGGGGGAAAAGGTAGGGGCAGTGTGAAGACTTTACAAATTACTGTGTTTTTATATATCCAATTATCTTATTTATAAATCATTTTAAACATATTTCATACAAGTTAAAAAAATATTAAACTTTGTCAATTTTTATTTAAAATTTAACAAGTTTTCAATTTTATTCGTATTTAATATATATTATATCGCATATAAACAAAATCAACAAAATAATAATAAAGGATAAATTTGTACATCCACATGAAAAATTTCTCTTAGTATCCTATAAATAAAATAAAAAAATATCTTTTTTCTTTGCTCTATTTATAAATAAGACTAAAGGAGCGCCAAAAAAGAAAAACATCACTATGTTTCTGAGAAAAATCAATGTACAGAAATCAGTCTTACAAAAACAACAAATTACCAGCGATAAAAGATATAATTACTTCTTCTCATGTATGTGTCACTCATTAAGCACTTTCTGGACAAAATATAAAATGAAGGCAAAACAATTAGCAGCAAATACACTAAAGCAGAAAAACAAATTACGTGTGAAGAAATTGACATGAGCAAGCGCGTGGATCATCAATCCAACATGATCCTCTGACAAGCTGATAAGCCCAAGACAGTTGTAACATAACTGGACCTCTACAGTAGTAGTAAAACACAGGAATAGGCAACTTCAATATTAAAGTCGCAACATTGAATGGAACCAGAACACTCACTGATATTTCCAATATCTTTTCTGGGCCTGGTTATTTCTTCGTGCTGGGACCTGAATTATTGCTATGAACCAACTTTGTCATGTGGGTCTTTAAGCTAGCTACAACTTTAGTTAAATTAGAACGTGTGAGCTGAGCAGGATCAAACTTACGAGCCCAACAAGAAGAAGAGATGTTTCGTGGAACGATGCTGATCATCTTTAGGTCGAGCAACTTCTGGGAGGATGTGGAGTTTCATGTTGGATACAAGTGATGGAAACCCATAAACAATGCAAGACCCACCCCAACTTCGAAAGCCCACTCATGATGAATGATCCAAGCTCTTGCATCTTTTACTAGGCGCTTCATCTTCCACTCAAGCAAATACGTGGGAACACAGTGACATTGCAAGACAGATCCCAATCATAATAATTAGGTTTAGTGAAAAGGGTTAATCCTTCACAATATGACGAATTAAGATTCGAATTTTTATTGGAAGATGTGTCCACATTCAGTATCCCGAGATACCTCAAATAGGATTATCTCGAATAGAAAGATACTTCTGTTTTAACAAAAAAAAAAGAAACAGATCCCAATCCTAACTTAAAAAAGAAGACCCTTTTATGGAGGATCATTTTTTTTTTGTTTTTGGGGGGGGGGGTCTTAATTGAGGGTTATAGGATATGTGGCTAATGATGTATGATCCAATCCTAACTTTGTAGCGTTATTTTTGTGTTTTGCAAAATTAAACCTTTTTTCGTATGCTGCTTCGCATGGTACATAATCGTTAAAATAAGTTAAAATTAAATATAACAATAATTAAGCTGTAAGTAATTTTAAAAATTAATCTGTAACAGTTGAATTATAATGAATACTTGCTTTGGATAGCTTAACCCTCTCTCCCCATAGAAAAGAGGACTCGCGCGCTCTTTTTGGGACATAAAACTCACAGTCTCTTCTATAATATGATATAAGGCGCCTTTAATAAACATGCTAAGCTGTTCGGAAGAAAAATAATGTTAAGCATGAGGATCAATTTAGTTAAAATTAATTTGACTACCACCACCGTCCACCAATACGAAAGAAGGGCGCAGCTCTGTACCGCGGACGAGCGCCACACGGGATTAAATCGGCTGTTACCAGGGAAAGCCTGAAAAGATGAAAGCCTGAAAGCACTGAGAGTGGAAGAAGCTCTGGAAGTAGCAATCCACGATATGACGACGACGTACGTCTTTGAAGACCAAGCACAGTCACACTGAATCATATCCCCCTTTCTCAGAGGAGCGTCGCGATGGAGGAGAAACACCGCGAAGCTGCCGTTCAACCGTCGTCCAACGTCGATTCGCCGGCATCCGAGTCGACTTCCTCCCGCCGCCGCTCCGGAGGGTTAAAAAGAAAGGTTAATACTCTCGGCTCCTCGAATTCCACGCCCACGCCCTCGAAACGTGTAACTCGCGAGAAGGCTTTGCCTGCTCATACTCCTCCCTTACACAATGGCCCCTTGACCCGGGCTCGTCAAATCCCGAGCAACCAGGCCACCCCCTCCTCTTCAGCCTTGGTAGCTGGTGGCGGCGGCTCTGCTGCTGGCGCTGCGAAGCACTCACAGCATGCGGTGACGTCTGAGGCTTTGGGTAGAGACTCAGGCGCGCATGCGGAGGATATTAAGAAGGAGCGTGAGTGGGAGGCTCTGGAAGCTGCGATCGAAACTGAATTCGAAGCTATCAGATCTCGTGGTGCCAATGCTCATGTAGTTCCGAGTCATTGTGGTGAGCCCATGTGTCTTTTGTGGAACCCTAGTTTGTTTATGTGTAGCTTTAGGACCTCTTAGGATTCTTCTTCATTAGATACTGGAAATTGGACGATGTTGATTATCTATGCTTTGAATTCTTTGGTGTTCCATTGACGAATATTTCAACTGAACTCGACTGAGCTGGTTTGCGGCTGGCTCTGTCTAGTATGCTGCTTAGTGCTTGCGATAGGCTTTTTCCAGTCTAGTCATGCTTGCCTCTGGCAGTTTGCCATAGTAGACCGTTGTTCATTCTACCTCCGGAGGCCACATTTTATATGCAACAATAAATACGTTTGTCCGGTTGAAGCATTCTCATCTTCCCACCTTTATCATGCCAGCGTTATAGTATTATTAAAAAAAGCGCGGAGTGGATGTTGGGAAAAATTGATATTTGTTAATTTTATCTTTGCAGAGTTCATTAAATGGTTTTGTGCAGTATACATAACACTAGATCAGCCCATGCTTTAAGGGATGGTTATGAAATCTTTTTATCCTGTTACTTTTGGAGCTTTGGTTCCAAATTATTGTGGTTGTTTGGAATCCTTATATTGAGTTATTGACCGGATGAGTGGACTAGCTTCTAAAATTACCCTTTTCTACTATATATATATATATATATATATTTGTATACAAGTTTGAGGACTATTTTTGGGTTTCTTTTCAGAACCTTGTAAGATCTAGAATGGAAGTCTAGGCACTGCAAAATCATCAGAATTTCCTGCAAAACCTAGAAATGTGAATAGTTTTGCTATGAGAATTTTGTTGTGGCTAAAATGTTTCATCGTGGAACGATGTATTGGTGATCTTGTTAACTGTATCCTTGAAAATCCTTATTTATCTTTTGTTCACTCCTAAATCTTCAAAAAGTGATTTATTCTTTTAAAAAGGTTTATCTTGTCTGGTTACTTTCCTTGATTCAAGCTGTTTCATGAAGTTATGTTGGTCAACCCCTCCCCCCACACCCAAGATCAACCTCTTAAAAACTAAAAAAGTTAAGTACTCTAAGTTTCAATCTTAAGTCTGACAACAGCTTTCTTCAATCAAACCATTTTACCTCTGGAATTGACTTTCAGGTTGGTTTTCGTGGACGGATATCCATTCAATAGAGAAGAATGCATTACCTTCTTTCTTTAATGGGAAAACTGAAAATCGGACTCCTGATATTTATATGGAGATACGGAACTGGATTATGAAGAAGTTTCATGCAAACCCAAATGCTCATATTGAGCTGAAAGACTTGTCTGAGCTTAATGTTGGAGATTTGGATGCCAGGCAAGAGGTAATGGAGTTTCTGGACCATTGGGGTTTAATTAATTTCCATCCATTTCCATCTACGGACAATGCTGTTGTCGGCACTGATGATGATGGGCAAGCAGAAAAGCAGTCCTTGGTTGAAAAATTGTATCACTTCGAAACTGTGCAATTATGTCCGCGTGTTGTTCCAAAGACCAACCAAATGACTCAAGATATGCCATCTGGCTTGTTTCCTGAATCAACATTTGCTGAAGAGTTGGTGAAACAGGAGGGGCCAGCAGTTGAGTACCACTGCAACTCCTGTTCAGCTGATTGTTCGCGCAAACGCTACCATTGCCAGAAGCAGGTTTTACCCATGTCATTGAATTGCATTGTTTTAGCTACGTTTTAAGGACTCTAAATATATTAATGGGCTTAATCTTTTTTGTGTGTGTGTGTCCGCCATGCGCGCGCATAATGGGCTTGATCTTATTATAGTTTAAATTTGAGTTTCTGTTCCTAGTCTGCTGCTTTAAGAGGTGTTTAATTATCTACATTGTTTGGTGTAGTTTGTTGAAATTACCTCCAACTGTGAGGATTGAACTGGTTGCCAAACTTTGCTCCAAGAAGCCCTCTTCGGTTTATTTTTAAGTTACAAAATTATGACGCATGGAATCATTTTACCACCTCTTCTGCGTCAAATTAGATTTTTGAAAATATTTTTGCATAATACTCCTGTGACACAACATGGTTCTGGATAAGTAGAAGGCGTGGAGTGTGAGCAGAAAATGTTATAATGATGACTGTCACATCCAACAGCTTGGAAAGGCTACTTGCCTTTTTGAATTTCTATTGACTTGCAAGAGGGTACATTCTTTGAAATGGTGTAAATGGTTGTTGCTCTAAAGGTTGTTCAACTTGTCGGAATGACTCAAGTTTGTGACTTTTAGTTAGACTTAATCTGTTTGACTATCGAAGTATTGAATTATTTGATTAATTTTAATATGTTGGTGAAAAAATAGGGTGATTGATAACTTTCTAATTTGCTTCTGACAGGCAGATTTTGATCTATGTACTGATTGCTTTAGTAATGGAAAGTTTGGCTCTGGTATGTCTTCAACGGATTTTATACTTATGGAACCAGCTGAAGTCCAAGGGGTTAGTGGTGGAAAGTGGACTGATCAGGAGACCCTCTTGCTTCTTGAAGCATTAGAACTCTATAAAGAAAATTGGAATGAAATTGCTGAGCATGTTGCAACGAAAACAAAAGCTCAATGTATATTACACTTTGTTCAAATGCCAATTGAAGAAGCTTTTGTTGATAGTGATGTTGTTGCTGCCAATTGTAAAGAAACTGCTGATCCAGCTGCAGCTAAAAATGATTCATCTATTGTCAAAGATGCATCAGAAACTCTTGAACGTAAGACCAGTAATGGTGATGGACAAGTCCTGACCCCATGCGATGAAACTTTAAAGGCTGAAGATGCTAATAAAGTAAAAGTTGATCAAGAGACCCTAATGCCAGAAAATGGCAGCAATGAGAAAATTAGTGAGGGAAATGGCAAACCAGAAAATGCTGCTGAAGTGAAACTTGGACAGGAAGCTAGTGACGGCTTTGTTCTAAAGGCTCTTGGGGAAGCATTTGAAGCTATCGGTTATTCTCCTGGACCTGAAGGGCCCTTGTCATTTGCGGAAGTGGGCAATCCTGTGATGGCATTGGTAAGTGGGATGCCTGGATGCTTGAAAATTAGCACATTGCTTGCAGAGGTTTCGGTGACTTGTAACAGATATCAGTCCGTCCATTCAGTCTGAATTTATTGATGACACATAAGGAAGGGATTGAAATAAAATTAACTTGCAAATTTGAAAGTTGTGTACTTGATGGTGCTAGTTTTCAGTGCCTGGCTTAAATGAGAGAATTTGATATTTGATAATGAGTACAAGCATATATGATCGTTTGTTATGATGACCCCCCCCCCCAAAAAAAAAAAAAACCTTAAACTAATTATTAAAAAATGATTTCAACTGCTGGCTGGTATTATGTGGCTGCGGGCGTGCGCGTGAGAAATATTTCATAGTATGTGCTTGGAGAAGACAGATTTGCTAAATTATTGGTGTTTGCTGTGCTGTTAAATTCTCTTATTTATAAAATTAGTATGAAGAGTATGTCTACCTTCCCCTTTTCCTTGTGTCCTGTCCCATATTTTCTGTCTGTTATCCATCTTGTGGAGTAATGCTGCTTTCTGTACAGGGAGGTTTCCTGGCACGCTTGGTGGGTTCTGATATGGCTGTTGCTTCAGCTCATAGCTCCTTAAAATCCATATCTTCTAATTCTCCCAGCATTGAGCTTGCAGCAAGACATTGCTTTCTTCTGGAAAATCCACCTGATGATAATAAGAAGGGACCATCTAGATTAGAAAGGTATTTTCATTAAATGGGGCGTGTGTGTGTGTGTTGCAATTTCATGCCTAATTTGACTATTGTTGATGAGATACTCATATCGTGTCTGAATGGATCATAGGGATTCTAAAATGGATGCGGGTCAAGATGAAAGTGAAAAACAGGATAAATCTATATTACCTGCTAAAGACATATCAAATGATCACAATGAAAGGAAAATTGCAAATGATGCTTTAGAAGATAAAAGACAGTTGAACTCTCCCAATGGTGGAGCCTCAGAGGAACCTGGTCCTTTAAAGGAGCAAGCAATAGCTAATCATGAGGAAATTGTGCCTGATAATTGTAAAAATCCAGCCAATTCAAAGTTGTCTGGTGATTGTACTATCCAGCATTCAGATGGTTCGACATCCAAGGCTGAAGGAACTTCAATTAAAGAGCTTTGTCAGCCTGCAGAGAAAACAAAGGATGACTCTGTTGTTTCTGATTCTCTTCGCTCTGAAAAGAATGATCTTCAGCAGTCAACTGCGGCCAAGAAAGCAGGAGAAAAGCCCAAGTCTGTACAGGCGCCAACAGACACGGAGGTCGTGTCTGATTCTTTGCCCTCAGATAAAAACAAACCTCAAAAACCTCTATCTAAAAATCCAGTTGGTGAGCATATGGAAATGACGGAACCAGTAATGAATGTTGACGTGGTTCCTAATTCCTTGCCATCAGAGAAGAATCAGAAGAATGAATCTGAGCCGCAGGTTACACTAGATTCGTCTCAACATGCAGGGACAACAAAGGATGTTGATATGACGTCTTCGTTGGACCAGAATGAACCTTCTCATCCAGTCACATCAAAGTCTGGTGCTGAAAATGGGAAAAGCCCAGGTCTCTTTCTCTCTGACAAGCTTCCCCACACCCACACACAAACTTCCACACGCAAAACATACACTTTTGCAGAAGGAATGCAATGGAGCATTGAAAGGTTTTATTCTGAGTAGCTTTTTCTTAAGGACACGAATAATAATTGATGTCTTCCTTATTTGCAGGTGAAGACGACACAGAAAATGGTAGGAAAATGGAAGATAATATCACAAATACCAAACAAGCTAACAAATTTGAAAAATTAAAACATGCTGCGATTTCTACACTTGCTGCAGCAGCAGTTAAGGCAAAACTTCTAGCCAATCAAGAAGAAGATCAAATTCAACAACTTGCTACATTATTGATAGAAAAACAGGTATTCTCATAGTCAGAGAAAGTTAGCACAGCAATTTATTTGTATTTTCTACTCCTTTGAAATTCATGGAGTATTTCATCAACTTGCAGCTGCACAAGTTGGAGACGAAGTTAGCCTTTTTCAATGATATGGATAATGTGGTGATGAGGGTCAGAGAACACTTGGATCGGTCACGGCAGAAGCTTTACCATGAGCGTGCAATGATAATTGCATCTCGCCTTGGGATACCACCTACAGCTAGAGGTGTACCCCCTTCCTTACCAATGAATCGAGTTCCCATGAATTTTGCAAATTCAGTACCAAGACCACCAATTAATATGAATCCCCAAAGGCTACCAATTTCTAGGTCCATGGGCACTGTGGCAACCACCCTTTCAAACTCATCATCTGCACCCACAACAGGAAATTCAGTTCAGCCAACCGGCCAGGAGAATTTTTCATCGGTTGAGACAAAATAAATGTCACGTGTGTCTTGAGAATGTTCAAGTATTCTTACATAGCGATAGTCTGCTACTATTCTGATAATGTGAGTATTCATTTAATCTGATGTTGAAAGTTTTGTTGGTTGAAATTGTAATAGTATTGCCAGTAGAACACCTCACTTTACTTTGATGTTTCTAGAATAATTTGGTCTAAGACTGGTATTCTAAGACGTAAAGGAGCCTGAAAATGGAACAAATAAGAAGTGCATGAATAGGAGAGGGAAAAGTAAGCTAAACGTCAACTGGGATGTTTCCACCATCACATTGGAAAAGATGTTTTTTGTTGATAATTCAGGCTATTTGAACTTGAGAGTGAGCATTTCATCCCTATTGATGAGTTTCTATTTTGAGGTTATGCTAATTTGCCTCGGTCCAATTGTCCTTGAGCTGTTTATTTATTCGGAGAATGGTAAAGCTGTTGCCATGACTTTTGATCAAGCAGCCCAAAAATTGTCCTTGGCATGGCGTATGGACACCATTTATTGGATAAATGGATCTGACTGAGCATGATTGTGGGACACTTGAAAGAAATTATGGTTTGGATTGATTAGAGCTGTAGAGCATATTATATTTTATTTCATGTGGAATATCACACTCGAACCATTTTGATTTCTTGTCTCTTTTGCACTTGCATTTTTTGTCTTCATTGTGAAACATTAAGAGCCAAGTTTTACATGGTACATGGAATCATGAACACCATGTGTTACATATTGCTTATTTGAGGCTCCAGACATTTAGGAATGATGTTTCCGTGTCGATGTGAAAGCCTCCACCATAGACTTTATAGTTTTGCCAAATGATTTTGCTGCCCTGTGATGGCTTAATTGCCACTTTAAATGGGTGCTTGGTTCTAGTGTATTAATTCTGTCATTAACTATGTTCTTGCATTACTCACTGATGGTCATATATGATGCAGCCAATTCTTTAAAGGCCAAGCGTTGGTTAGGAGTTAGGAGACTCACTCCAAAACCACAGTTACTGACAGTTCTATGACCAGAACCAGAATCATGAATTGTAGGAGCATCTTAACCTCATTTTGAGCAGCAGCTTGAGGTGGCAATTTGGATACAGATCTGGTGATATATTGAATTTGTAGGGCTATTGGCTCATAGTAATGTTTTGACGTGTTTAACTCCAGCAAGTGGATAGATATGCCGAAAGGGCGCTCCCCCATCTCACTTCACCGCTTAAATCTTGGGAAGGTGCTTTTGTGAAGTTTATGTAGTTTTGTGAATGTACATGTCCTGCTTGTTCCATATTAGAACTTACCACACACCACACTAGATAACCGCGCTGTGCCTTTTCCCAATTTTCCCCCCCTCTCTCTTTGCTTTGCGTCTTCATTGTTTGGGGTTAGTTGCAACTCTAATATTCAACAGGTTTTTCAACAAATTTAGCTGAGCTTCGGGATGGTTTACCTATTTGCAATTTGTCGGTTGCCCTTTTGGTCATGTACTATTTGCAAGCAAGATAATGCATTACTTGTATTGTAACCGGATGGAAGTGCCTTTTGCTTCTTTTAGGGTTCGCGAGTGATTTTGGTGGAGATGCTTGCGTTATCTGGTGAGGAGTATAATTGTTTTGGTTCTCCAACCATGAGTGGAAAATCATGTACTAGCTTTTTGTTGTGGCTCCTACCCTCTTTGTATTCCAAAAAAAAAAAGTACTAAAATCATAATTAAATTAGAGGGACTTGTTCCTTTGCAGAGTTCGCCGATTGTCTAAAATGCTAGATTTTACTCTATTTATTATTTAAAAATTGAAGAACTTAACATTTTAATAAATTTTAAACTGTTACTCCATTACTCCATATCTTTATTTGAATGGAGAAGGAAAAGACTAGAGGAAGGGAGGAAATTTCTTTTCAAGCCACAGAACAAATTGATTAGTGATTAATATATTAGTAAGCAGAGCTGAGTCACTTGTGCCTGAAATCAGAGCTCTTGGATTATATACTAGTTTCATCACAAGTATCGTTAAGATTAATAGAAAAGTAAAAATAATTATTTCAGCAATAAACAATCCCCACAAAGAAGAATCAGGAGCCCCGATGGCCGGATAATGCGGATGCCCAAATTTCGTCCAACTCTGAAGTGCCGCCATGCAGGGCCTGGAATCTGGCCTCCTCTAACGTAACTCCCACGGCCGTCCGATACCGATTGTTCTACATCTTCGATCAAGAGGTCAGAGCTCTGTTTTACTCTTCTCAACCCCTCTGTTACCTAGCTATTTTATCCTCCTCAATACCAAGTCCTTTGACGAACATGGATACTTGCGCCTGACCTCTTGGTCGAAGATGTAGAACAATTATTCGCCACGTAAGCTGTCTATCGCAAAATATGCTTTTGATATTTCTTTCCCCTCTGGTTCGTGAACATAGACAACTATGGCAGCTTAAACGGTTAACAAACCTTGTTTAGTGTTTGGGGGCAAAAAAAAAAAAAAGGGTTGTCCAGTGAGGCGCACATGCCCGAGCGATAAAACCTGACTATAAATTTCAAGAAGTGTTAAAAAGTAAAGAAATAAATAAACAGTAAACCAAAATAACAAATAACCTTAGAAACCAGGACGATCTTAAAAGAGTTTCTTTGACAATATAGGAATAGCATACAAGGGAAGCAAATATAATCTGACTGCTTAGGACATGGACCAAACAAGCAGCGAATGGATAACATTGAACCAGTTGATTCTTAACCAGACATTAATTTACAGTAAAGATACAAGCAGCAACAGCCAAACAGGATCAAATAATGTCAAATAATATACTTTTTGACACTAAACGGCAATATAATCAGCACTCGCATCCAGATGATGGCTGCCGACTACTGCTTCCAACATCAATTGTGTCAGGCAGATATCTTCAATAAGCAAAAAAAGTACCATTAGGACAACAAAAACTAAACGCCACATCAAATCATATCAGGATATTTTGATTTCCAAATAATATAGTATCTATATAAATTTTGATCACTGTCAGTGGATGTGGCAAAGATGCACCAACGAGAAAAATTGGAACATATATGCAATTCCAGGTTAAAACTATTTAGGCCTTCTTAAACAGTCAACACTAGTTGCCATTGCAGCGTGTAAAGAATGAAGTAGTTACTGCAGTGAAGAAGAAGAGGGGCAAAGGTTTATTGGTCACTAAATCACTATTATCCAAAAATTGTTCCTATTACACAGTTCAAGTTCAAGCTAGCTACTCGAACAGTATAAAGTCATGATTCCAACAAACTGGATAAATAATATCGGATTTTCTCATCATAGCACATTTTTATGAAATACTGTAAACTATAACACCAAATCGCCAATAGGAACAAGCTACGTTCCCAACAGATTAAAATTATCTAAAAGCTAGACAGCATTTGTCCCAGTCTATTTGTGTTTCAGTGCTTCAAAATGTACATGAAAGAAGAGATTCGCTTGTTTAGCAACTTACATTTCTTCCTCTTCCCCACTTTTCAGGGCATCTTTTGCAATGCATTGGAATGCTTCTTCAACATTAACACCTTCCTTCGCTGACGTTTCAAAATATGGGATATTTCCTTTTGATGCACACCAAGCTCGAGCCTTCTTCTCTGAAACCTGCACGAGAGAACTTCATTATTGAGTTTATATGTTTAGTAGGAGTTGAATTAGCTTTGTCAGGTTCATGAATGCCTCTCTCTCTCTCTCTCTCTCTCTCTTTTGGGGGGTGGGGGGCATCCTGGAAGATACAGCAAATTCAGGCCAAAGACGTACCACTCTACCGTTCCCACCATCCACATCTATCTTGTTTCCTATAACAACAAAAGGGAAATTCTCTGGATCGGACGGGCTAGCCTGCCAACATGATCAAAGATATAAATGTCTATAAAAACACCACAACATTTGTGGGAGTTGTCAAAATTATCTTTGGAGAGGAACAAGTCATGCCTGGATCAAAAATTCCTCCCTCCAGTTGTTGAGATTGTCAAAAGATTTCATGGAATTAACATCATATACAAGAACACAGCAATCAGCACCACGATAGAAAGCAACACCAAGGCTTTGGAATCTTTCCTGACCAGCTGTATCCCAAATCTGCAAAATTCAACTTAATTAGTAAAACGAAAGGCTGACGATTGTAACCAAGTGCTGCTTAAAACTTTTATAATAAAAAAAGAATAGTAATAATTAGTCCACAATACTTCCAAACTGCCTATCCACATAAACAGAGATGCAGTATCCATGTATGTAATTTCTTCTTCACATAACCCATGTTCAGGAATAAGACAAATGAAGCTGAACAATAATAGCGTTTGAGAATATGAATCTGAAAAATGGAAGTCACAAGTTATTCCTCATTTAGAAGGTTGAGTCCTAAGAAATCTTCAGTTAATTTGGCATATAAGTTGTAAAATAGATTTCAAGATGGGTACTTCCAAGGAAAATCGAGGAGACAATCACACCGAGTTGCATCCACATTTGACGCCATTGGATTAGGCCCTAGTCTCATGGCTCATGCATACAGTCAACTTCGGACATTCAAAAAAGAGACAGCATATGACCAGCGCCATTCACAAACCTGTAAGGTGAAAAGCCTATCTTCAAATTGCACCTCTTTTGTCAAAAAATCAGCTCCTATAGTAGCTTTGTACTGATTGCTAAACTTCTTATTCACATATCTATATACGTTAAAGAAAGACAGACTGCATATGCTACAGACTTAGATAATACTGTCAAGATTAGTAGCTAATATGCTATTAAGTTATGTCGGAGTGTAAGGAGTTCCGGCACAAGCACCAAAGGATACTGATTCATCAAAGATGTCTTCCCCACCCTGCAAAGCACCAGATTCTTTAGTCAAAAGAACTGCGATAACGTTTATAACAGCGTAACCTTAAATCAATTTCCTGAGTGCATATATCCAAATAACTTGATTTGTATTTAGTTTGATCCAAACACAATGGAAGAAAACACACAAAAATTACAGTTCCTGAACGAATTGTTCTGAAAAATGTAGATCTCGTACCACAAAAATAGTAAGCTCGCCCTTCAACAGGATCATTTGCAAAATATAGTACCATTCTAAACTGCAAATTACTCTGTTTTGTTCATATTATTTCATCGAGAATCACAGAATTCGAGGCTGGAATATTAACAGTAAGTACCAGCAGAACTAGATGGAATGATAAAATTGATTGTGTAAATTCAACTAATAGGTACTAAACGAACTCCAGAGATTTTCATCATATGTTTCGATTATTCTAGATCAAGAAGCGTTAAGATCCGAAGTTCATAGAATCAAGCATCCAAAAACATAGAATAAGTCTGAGAGAGGAGAGTGGAACCCGCTGTCGCCGAGAATGATGACCTTCAGGAGGGTTCTTCTTCGGGAAGGCATCGTGCGGGTGAAGGATCGGGAAGGAGATGAGCACGAGGGCAGAAGCGTATCTGAAAGTCGCTTTGGACTGTGACGCTTTCTTTCTTCACCAGCTCGCAGCTTTCAGGTATATTCTCTCTCTTCGGATAAAAAGGCCCGCACTTGCCACCCGACTCCCTGTGACGGCGAGCACCATTTTTTTTTCAAAAAAAAAAAAATCAATGTGATCTCAAGCCAAAATTGTCCTCGCGGGATGCCTGTTGTTAATCATTTCTGCCATCCTTAATATAATACTTAATTATTAATACAGAATTTAATTATTAATTTAATTTTAGTCCTAAATATAAAACTTATTTTTCATATTTATCAATTTTTTCTAAATTACCCCTATGGATATTCTCTCAACCATAATCAATTAAGTGCGGGAAGAAGAATATTAAGAAAGATGATTATGATGTTTTAAAAAAAAATATGTCATATTTCTTATAATTAAATAATTTATCTAAATTCTTTAATATAATCAAATTAGTTAAGGATGTCTTATATTAAGGAGCAGAAGAGTACTACTTCTGGTTCCAAGCTAATTTCAAAACTAGGCATTTTGATTTGGTTTTAGCTTACTGCTTAGTTCAATTGTTCAAAGTAAAACTGCTTTACTCAAATTTAATTCAATTGTTATATTTGCATATTAATAAATAAAATATATAAAATGAAAAATAATTTTTCAGTTATTTCTTTTTTTTTAAAAACAAATTTATAGTTAAAAATAATAAATCCGATTATCTTAATTATCTCGTATAATTAACATCAATAATCAAACAATAGAACCACTCATTTTAGATCTCAAAAGTGGAAATCAAGACTCTAATGATATGTTTGGTTTTATGAATTTCTAATTAATTTGCATTGCACTAAGTCTGGCCAATTAGAACGGGAATCAGGGCTGGCCCGACCCTCCAGGACCGGCCCTTCAGGGCTGGCGAGCTTAAAAGGGTCGGCCCTCCAGGGCTGAAATTTTAAAAATACCCCAATTTGCTAGGCCGGCCCTTAAACTACAGGGCCAGGGCCGGCCCGCGGGCTTTTGGCCCGTTTAAGAAAAAATATTATTTTTTATATTTATCATATTTTTTTATAAAAAATATAAAAATAAACCAATAAAATTATTAATAAAAGACATAAATATGAATAAAATTAAGTCACAAATATAAAATATTATCATATATAAATATTCATCAACATTTAAGAACATCTAAAACATTCATTAATAAGATAACAACATCTAAAAGTTTTATCTATAATGCAATTGTGCAATAAATAAACACTATCATTAATCTTTTGAAACTTCATCATCACTATAATTAATTATTTTTCTTCATAAGTATACTTTTCTTTCGTAACAAAAATATCAAGTTTTTCTTCTTTATAAGAATTTTATTTTTAAATTTTGCAATCTAACTATTATTTTACTTTAATGTGAGAAACATTGTTGTTGAAACTCATGAATTTCTAATTCAAATTATAGAATCACAAGTTATATAAGTATAAAAATATTCTATTATCAAATATATATATAGTTTAAAAATATCAACGCATATAATATAAATCAAATCATTATTAAAGTCCAAATTAACCCATTTTTAAAAAATTTAATTGGATAAATTATTGTCTAAAACTAAATTTAATTTTAAAATGATAATAATAACTAAATATTTGAAATATTATTAACAATATAAAAAATTAATAACATTAATATTATATAAAAAATTTAAAAAATTATAAAATTATAAAATGACTTAAAAGGGCCGGCCCGCGACCCTCCAGGGCTTATTTCTCATTTTAAGAGAAAAATATCAAGCCCGACCCTCATAATTTCAGGGTTTAAAAGGGCCGGCCCGACGGGCTCGGCCCGTTTTCCGGCTCTATGGCCAATATTCTCACAGAATTCAATATAATGAAACAAAACAGCACTAAAATGCCTTTATATAATAAGCCCAATAACTGCAGCCACGCCATAGTTCAAGAAACAACACAAGACCACTGACCATAATTTCAATACCACCTAAGGTCGAAACTCTGCATTGTCCACCATTTCTAACCACAATAATTTCCCATACAGCACAAGAGACGCTTTATAGGGAGATTGTACTAATTGCATGCAGGTGGGAATAATAAAGAAGATCCAGATCGAAGCCAAAAACGGATCAAGAACCTCTGGCGACTCTGAACATTTTTGTTGCGGAAAGGAAAACCTATAGTTATAATTTCAATAACAAGGGAATTTTGTATAACGGATACAGTTAAAACAGAATTTCTTAAAGAAGTTAATTACTATATACTCCTCCGGTCCTTATTATAAGACCCCATTTGACTTTTTATTTGGTCCTAATTATAAGACCCCAATCCATTTTGTCTTTTATATTTATGCATTTTTTTCCAAGATAATCCTTCTAATAATGATAGTTTTAGCCAATATACTTAATTAGTAAGGATATTTTAGGAATGACAACACTTATTTATTATAAATAACCAATTTAACTTACTTTCTTAATCTCCTCAAATAAGTCAATTGGGTCTTATAATTAGGACCGGAGAAGTATTAATGATTTAATGTATTGAAAAGCAATAATGCCCCATGAAAGCATAGTGTCAACGTGTCGCTTCAAATTTGCATGACATTTCCGAAAGTGCCTCATTCAAATACAATGCAGCAGACAGATGCTAAAGCAAGACATATATATATTGACACACACAAAAAAACATATGCCAAGTCATATTATCCATTTTGAATTTCTTAGTCATAAGTTATAACAGCCACAATTATATTAGCAAGTCATCACAACAATGACACAACGTTGAAGCTTAAAAATAGTAAATTGCAGTGAGATGTCTCCCAACTTCCCTACTTTGTAGGAGATGACTTGGAAAACGGCATGTCTTCGTTTTCTTTACCCACTATTTCCATGCATGCATTTTCGCCTTCATCTTCTTCCTTTGAGAATTTGCCTGTCCTTTGCTCTCAGGTATGCTCCCGCGTCCTTCCTTCTTCCCTATCATCGCTAGGGGAGAATAATTTTGTCGCTCCCACACGTGCCCATCGATCATATCCTTTCCAAAGCTTATCATTCTCTGTTTTCTGGTTTTTCCACATCCAATAATTCATTCATTTGAAATAGAGAATTAGCTTTTGAGAGAGCAGGTCAGGCTTCTCCACATCTTTAACGATCACCTTAGTTGGAGGAGGCAATAATTATTTAATGGCTTCAAGTTCCGATTCCGCGCCTTCGCCTGATTCATCTTCCTCGGATTCTCCTCCGTCACCACCGCCACCGGATTCAAGTTCATCTGACGATTCTTCTTCCTCTCCGCCACCACAACCCCCTCCTCCACCATCCGACGACCAATCACCCCCACCGCCACCCGACCAAGACAATGGTGGAGACAGCAATAACTCATCTCCTCCCCCTCCTCCACCTTCTAATGGCAACGATAACAGCGATGGAAATAACAGCAAAACGGGGAGCCCTCCGCCTCCACCACCGCCAGCGAATGCCAAGGGAGGAGAGTTTTCACCTCCGCCGCCAGTACACCGGTTGTCTCCTCCGGAGAAAAGTTCACATGGATCATCGGACAATCCATCACCGTCGTCAGGTAGCAATAGCGATGGATCTCAATTGAGCGTACCAGCTATCATTGGTTTGGCAGCTGGAGCTGGTTTGTTGCTGCTTGTGTTCATCCTCATCTTCATTGCATGCAACAGAAGGAAGAAGAGGAGATCTGAGGGTCCCATTATTTACTACGCCAACAAAAAATTTGGTACAACTTTCCTACCTCAAGCACATCGCATTTGATTAACATTTCCTCTACAGTTTTATGTCAAGCTTCGTTCGTATAAATTAATAACCTGACTTTAAACTGCAGCAAGCATGTTCAACATTTATCCTGTTTTATATCAATGAATGAATGAATATAACCAGAAAAAAATCATATGGACGTACTTAGGGTAATAAATAATGGCCATGTTTTTGAGAGAGATTTCAACGAGGGAAAAATTTATGGTGACCAATGTATGAACAAATTTGGGGAGACGCATGCAGATGATGACTATTACAAGCAGGCGAATAAGGGAAACAATTGGAACAATACTGGTTATAACACTGGTGATCAACACGTTATGAATATGCCAACACCCCCAGGAGCAATGGGAGGAGGCGTGAATAAATCTCCTTGGGGAGCACCGCCGGCTCCATTCTCTGGGAATATGAACAGCGGTGAGATGAGCAGCGCGAGCTATTCAGGGCCGGTGGGTCCACCGCAGCCTCCCCCACACCCTTCGGTGGCGCTAGGGTTCAACAAGAGCACCTTCACGTACGAGGAGCTAGCGGCTGCAACTAGTGGTTTTGCCCAAGCGAACCTACTGGGACAAGGTGGATTCGGGTATGTGCACAAAGGAGTGCTTCCCAACGGCAAGGAGATAGCCGTGAAGAGTCTCAAGTCGACCGGAGGCCAAGGTGACAAAGAGTTTCAAGCTGAAGTTGATGTCATCAGCCGAGTCCATCATCGCCATCTCGTTTCTCTTGTTGGTTATTGCATTCAAGAAGGCCGTAGTCTCTTGGTCTACGAGTTTGTGCCCAACAAAACTATGGAATACCATCTTCACGGTAAGACTTCTAAGAAGTTTTAATTTCATTCATAGTGTGACACGATTAATTATTTTATTCTTTTCTTAATTTTGTCGAACTTTGAAATTAAACTGGTAGGGAAGGACCGACCTGTTATGGACTGGCCTACTAGGCTCAAAATTGCAATTGGATCGGCCAAGGGACTTGCTTATTTGCACGAGGATTGTGAGTGATCTCCTTTGATGATCTTATCATATAAGCATACTCTCAACCATTTTATCTTATTTTACTCATTAATAATTAATAATTTACATCTGAAATGTTCCTCAGGCCACCCTCGAATCATCCACCGTGACATAAAGGGCGCAAATATTCTACTCGAAAACAACTTTGAAGCCAAGGTGAATATTACTGAAGAAAAGAAAATTTTCATGTTGGCTTATAATTAAGGTATTTTGCTATATGTTTAATTAACCTCACAATTGGCTTTCTGGGGAAAAAATAATATTCAGGTGGCAGATTTTGGATTGGCAAAGCTTACACAAGACAACAACACGCATGTTTCCACCCGTGTAATGGGAACATTTGGGTAAGCCAACTTGTCAGATTCTGCAGAATTTTGAAGCACCTATATATGTCTGATACATTAATCCATATATATATAATTGTAATTCTCAGGTATTTGGCTCCTGAGTATGCTTCAAGTGGCAAATTAACTGAGAAGTCCGATGTCTTCTCATTTGGTATTATGCTTCTGGAGCTCATAACAGGACGACCTCCCGTTGACACTACCGGAGAATATGAAGAGGACAGTTTAGTTGACTGGGTACGTGTGTGTGTGTGTAAATATATATATGACTTTACACACACCTTTAACATATATATTTTCCTACTATACTTACATTCATATGTATATATTTATATCTAATTAATTAAGGTTCTGTTGAGAAATCAGTTTATTCATGAACTGCATATGTAATGCAGGCTAGACCTCTTTGCATAAAGGCGATGGAAGGTGGGAGCTTTGAAGGTCTGTCGGATCCACGACTAGGCAACAATTACGATATGCAGGAGATGGCCCGTATGGTGGCTTGTGCTGCTGCCAGCGTCAGGCACTCCGCTAGAAGGCGACCAAAAATGAGCCAAGTATGTTCATACACACACACACACACTAAGCCTTTCACTGACGCCTTTGTTGTCTCTCCAAATCAAAAATATTACAACACAAACGATCTAAGAAGCCCTTTAGTACTAAATCTCCCTTTATATTACACATGAGAATATTTAAGAAGCTAATAATGATAATAATGTGTGCTTGTGTGCATAAATGAAACAGATAGTACGTGCTTTGGAGGGCGATGTGTCACTGGATGATCTGAGCGAAGGGGTGAAGCCAGGGCAAAGTTCAATATTCACAAGCAACAGTATGGAGTATGATGCTAGCACTTACAGTGCAGATATGAAGAAGTTCAGGAAGCTAGCATTGGATAGCGGCTACGCAAGCAGTGAGTTTGGCCAAACAAGTGAGTATGGCCTCAACCCTTCCTCCTCAAGCAGTGAGGAGCACTCTTCTGAGTACACCAAGACCACCAAGTAAACAACAATATTCAATCCGGCCAACCTAAACGACGTCGTCGCAACCCCCAACTTCAGCACCAGCAAATTAAACCTCCAAATCTGTGAAACGGAATAAATTAATCATGTTTATCAATTAGTTATCATTGTTCTGATTCATTTGTTGCACTATACTCAGCTAGCTAGACTACGTTTATATTCTCCTGTTATTTTATTTTGGTATATATGACGTAATTGGAGGGGGAAAACAATGCAAAAAAAATATTTTTTTTATTTGCAAAAAAAATGGGAACAATCTTAAGCACTTGTTACATTTATCTTCGTTAATTAAGATGTCGAATGGGTTGCTGTACTTTGACTAATTTCAGTCTGGGATTTCGATTATTTCGGATTTTCAAATTTTGCTCTTGTTATTGATTCAGCATGTTGCTTTTGTTATTCCTAATATCTCTAATTAAATTTAAGTTTCAAGCAGACCTTTTTTCCTAAGTTAACAGCAATTTTTTATTGAAATTAACCTCAACAACTTTTACTTGATGAATCAATTAAAATGGACAAACAGATAAATTTACCTAAACAATATGACCACTAACATAGACTAGTAATATACCACATTCTTTGCAGATTATTTAACCCATAGTGCTATTTTGATTCCCGCATTATTCCATCAGTTTACAAATTAAATAGGAAATTATAATTGTGTGTGTGTATGCATGTGTGCACGTGAGAGGGAGAGTAGTTTTTTTTTGTTTTGCTTTTTATATGAGAATTATGATATCAGTAATCCAGTATTTATTAATTATTATATAACGCTAATAGACGCGTGAAGGCCTGCCAAGACAAAGCGAAGGGCTTTTTATATTTTCTAACAAAGTATTTTTAATATAAAAATGATTCGAATGATGATGGCAATCTTTACCATATTTTACACTCATTAAGCTAGTTTAACATACCTAAAAATTACAAGGTTGAAAAAAAAAAAAAAGGACGCCGGAAAACATGAAAGTGTCACGTCTTCTCCCACGTTTTGAACGAGATACGGAGATAGACGAAGGATGCTAGTTGCTAACATGCAATCAAATTAAAATTAAATAAAATTAAAAATATAAGCTATTAAAAAAAATGAAATAAAACCTTGAAAGGAAACTAAAATTATACACTAAATGAGGAGGCAGTGATACAATACTGGGAGGGTAAAAGTTTGGTCAAACTCTGTCGAGAAATGAATTCCAATAATTTTAAATATGAAAGTCCTCTTCCATCGAAAAATATGGAAATCCCAATTATATGAATTATGATATATAAATGTATATGTGTGTGTATATAACCGTCATTAGTTCCTGATTTACAACTTGAAATTTCTCCCCTTCATGCACAAAATAGTATATTTGAATAGATTTAAAATTGTTGGGGAAAAAAGAATAATTTAAAATGTGACAATACTTATACTACTCTCGGTTCTTAATATAAGAGCTTGTTTAATTTTTATTTTAGTCTTAAATATAAAATCTTAATCCATTTTGTTTCTTATATTTATCCATTTTTTTAAGACATTTTTTGTAATAATGGTAGTTCTAGCCAATACATTTTATTAGCAACGATATTTTACAAAAGATAATATTTATTTATTACAAATAACTAATTTAACTATATTATTTAATCTACTCAAATTAACCAAGTAATTGTATTTAATTTAATATTTTCTTTTTTTTATAACACGCACATATATACTACCTCCGGTCATTAATATAAGACCTCTTTGACTTTTATTTTAGTTCTAAATATAAGATCCCAATCCATTTTGTCTCTCATATTTATACATTTTTTTCCAATATAACCCTTCTAACAATGATAGTTCTAGTCAATACATTTGATTAGCAAGAATATTTTAGGAAAGACATCTATTTAGAACAAATAACTAATTCAACTTACTTTTCTAATCTTTTAAAATTAGTCAACTGGTTCTTATAATTAGAACCAGAAGTAGTATATATATTCTATATTTGCATTGACTATTGATTATCCTTTTTGAGATGGCGCGATCTGGCTGGTATGTTGCTGTCATAAAAACTCCGTAAATTTGTAATTAGTTAAAAGCAGACCCGCGCCGGACTTGATCTGCGTGAATCGATACACCGAGGCCCTCTTAGCGTCAGGGGGCAATTTCCTCTTCATTTCGCCTCGCAAGCTTCTCATTTCCCAACTTCACTTGAGTGCTGGCAGACTCGCATACAGAGAGATAGTGATAGAGATAGAGATCGAGCGAGGTTGTATAGCTTCCAGATCTCAGAGATTCCTCTTCTCCGGTTATGGCTCAGCCTCTAGTGAAGAAAGACGATGACCGAGATGATGAAGGTGATTCGAATTTCTTACTACTGAACTCCGGATTTTCCCCGACGGAATATCATATTTCCATTCGTAATTCTATCTGCTTTCCGTTCTGTTTGTGCTTAGTATTTATTTTCTCCAGTCCGCTGCTGCTGGATCACTCTGTTTCGGCTCCAGATCTACATTTGATTTTCATTTTAAATTTGGAATGCAGTAGGATCTCTTAGATCATAATACTTGTTTGAAATTGATTTTGAACTCTGACGTGCTTTGTTGCTCCTCGTTTGATCTGGTTGGGTCCATTATGGTATTTGGAAACCTGAATGATCTTAGCCTCAGGATATAATTCGCAAAGCAGATAATTGAATTTATCCCTTCTTTTGTTTGAATTAGTTTATGTTGATGAGTTGACAGCTTTTTTTGGCGTTTCGTTCAAGTTAGGCTGGTGCATTGGAAGTCATACGTAGCCTTATATCATGACTCAATTATGGGTATACTAATTGCACTTTTGGTTGGTTAACAGCCGATTATTCTCCCTTTTTGGGAATTGAAAAGGGGTCTGTTCTCCAGGAAGCCAGGGTTTTTAATGATCCACAGCTAGATACTAGGAGATGTTCACAGGTTTACATCTCAAACCACTTGATTTCTCTGTTTTTAAGTTTTGCGTCCAATATTATTTGTTGATTAAATTTTGAAAATTATGTATGCTATTTAATTTCAGGTTATCACAAAGCTTTTGTACCTACTTAATCAGGGAGAGACATTTACAAAGGTCAAGAACATTTCTTATTGGTTTCATTTTAATTGTTTTAAAGATCTATGGTTGTTTGAAGATTGACTTTTCAAAACTATTTTGTAGTTGTTATTGATCCTTTAGTAGTTTCTTGCTTCAATTTCGTAGGTTGAAGCCACAGAAGTTTTTTTTGCTGTGACTAAGCTTTTCCAGTCTAAAGATCTTGGGTTAAGGAGAATGGTCTACCTTATGATAAAGGAAATCTCTCCCTCTTCAGATGAGGTTCATGTTCTTATGCAATTCTTCTTTCTTGTTGGACACTTAGGACTCCCTTGTATTGTCAAACTGTTCTCTGACTTATCTTTTGCTTTAATTTTATGAAAGGTTATTATTGTCACGAGCTCTCTCATGAAGGACATGAATAGTAAGACTGACATGTATAGGGCGAATGCCATTCGTGTGCTTTGTCGCATTATTGATGGAACACTTCTCACCCAGATTGAGCGGTATTTGAAACAAGCAATTGTAGATAAGAATCCAGTTGTTGCAAGTGCAGCCCTAGTTAGTGGCATTCACCTACTTAAGGTATTTTTCACTGCATGTAATTCTTTGTATTACCATGTTGTAATTGGTTTTTTTCTTTAATGTAATTCTTTATATTAGCATGTTGTAATTGGTTGTTTCTTTAACTTTTGTCGTTTTTCCAGACGAATCCTGAAATTGTAAAAAGGTGGAGCAATGAGGTTCAGGAAGCAGTTCAATCAAGAGCAGCTCTTGTACAGTTTCACGCTCTGGCTTTGCTACAACAAGTATGTTGCACAATGGTTCAATTTGTAACTAGGCTTTATGATGTTTTGAGTAACTTATGCTATAGATAAAACACTACCACCACCACCACCCATATAGATCATTCAATGAAGCAATGTCTTAATAGTGATCAATGATAACCTGATGTTGAGCAATAGCTTCCAACTGAGGAGGAACTTAAGATTACTTTCTTAAATGATAGGCATGTTGGCTTATCAATGATCACAGCTTTAATATTTGATAATTCTGGATGATCTGGCTTCTCCTTTAGTTCTGTACAGGGTATGAATTTGTCACACTGAGAGGGAGAGAGAGCACAACTTCTTGAAGTAAATATGCCAGAATTTGTTTTTTTTTTCCAAAAAAAAAAAAAAAGGTTTCTAGTCACTTTTATGCTATCTTGTCTTCTAAAAAAGTTTCACATTGCCATTCTTTCTCCTAGCTTCAACCCAGCAGTAAAGGTCCATGTGTCTATCTAATCATGGCCCACCCTCTTCTAGAACTGTACAAAGGATAAAATTCAAGACATTGTCTCTGTCCACATCCTTTCATCTATTTCACATGGGTACAGGTACTGGCACGTGTAAGGGTACTAGGCATGGTTATTTTTGTAAAGTAAATTTACTGTTATAGCAATATGATGAATATACGCTCAATTTATCCAATATGCATTGAGATCGAACTTTTTTTTTTTTTCTTTTTAAAGTAGTACTTGATACTTCTTTTTGGGTGTCCTAGTTAAGAGTGGATCTAGGGGTAGGGGAGTGCTGGCATCATGGTTTCTCCTTAATTTGTCAAAGGCAGGCTTTGAAGCTGAAGAGTGAAGCTTGGGTTGGGTATATATGTAACAAGTTAGGCATGATTAACATCTATGTTCCAACTCGAAGGGGGTGGAGTATTCAAATGGGGTTGTTATTATCTATATTATCGGTTATATATGGAGTATGCTATAGGAAATAGACTTCAATTATAGGTTGTGTAGGGTAGGCTGCATTTATAGGCTCTCAATAAACCATGATTACCTTGGCTCATCTTGTGTATATATACCTTAGATGATTGTATGCATCTTAGTCTTTTCTTTGTACACAAACGAAATATGGTAACACCTGACCCTACCTATGAACAACAGGCACTGATGAAATGATGATATTCCA